TACTTGCTACCCAGCGTTGGTCTGCGGTTCTATTGCTTGCAACACTAGATTGTCATGTTATTTCATTTTAACATTTTCAACCTACTTGTGAAGGACTTTCTCTTGACGAAATAACTTGCTGTCAGTACACCTTGGTTTATGCAGATTCTCATTTGTTTGTTTTGTGTGTATGTGTGTGCTGGGGATTCAACCCAGGGCCTTGTGCATGCTAAGCATGTGAGCAACATCCCCAACACCTCAGGTACTCTTTTAAAAGACTGTTATATTAAAATATCAGTGATCAATTATTCCTATGTATGGATAAAAAAAGGATGATCACAGCAAAATTACAGAGCAGTAAAGTTAGCAACACTATGTTAAGCTACAGGACAAAGAACAGAGTCACTTTGCCTCCCAGTCAATAACTTTATTGAGGAGATAATCTGTTTATCAATGTGAACTCTTATCTACTCTTGGCTGTAAACTTTGGTTATTCTCTTATAATGTATTTTCAACTCCTATGTGATGTTTCTTAGGAATTCAAAAGTGTATGGAAGTTCCAGAGAATCTGCAACACAGGGCAAATCAATAAAGTCCCCTTAAGAAACTGGCATCTATGAATTTCTAGGCACCAAGCTAGGGCCTAGGCAAAAAAAAAAAAAAAAATTTCCTTTCTTTATTTAAGGCATAGTTGCATAGGAGACCACTCAGATAGTGCAAGGAGAGCAACAATAGAAGTGTACAAGGTAGTCCAGGGTACAGAGGTAGAGCAAATAGGAGTGGTAACTCTGTAGTGTGAAGAAAATAGGGGTGTCGGGAATGGCTTCCAAAGGAAGGATTTTTTAAATCCTTTTTAAAACTCTAAGGTCATCAGGCAACAAAAGTAGGGAGGACATTTCAGGAAGAGAGAACAGATGACACAAGGGTGGAGGAGGCAAGTAGTATGGTGTGCTTGGGGAATTCCAAACAGTCTAGTGCTGCTGAATCTGCTGGTAGGAGAGTAAATATCACTTAGACTTAGATTGTGTTTGTGAGTGTGGAGTGGCATAGCCTAGAAAGTGCATTGGGCTGATTCTTGGGCTGGTGTGTCTCTGTTCAACTGATGGCAGTAGAGACAAGTGTCATTTAAATAATCACCGGGACTTTCAGGTCCTTCCATGACCCATACATATTGCAAAATGTAAAAGACAAAAGCCTTAAAGTTTTTTAAATACGATAGATACGTCTTTTCTCTTGAGGCCTTGTCCATTTCAGTGGTTCTACATTTTGAGCAGGGAGTATTGATACACACAAAAAATGTACCTTGTAAACCATGGAAACACAATCAGGATCCAGTTTATTTATGAAAAGACTTAATGGTTCTTTACTGATGGCCATTAACCATGTTTCTCTTAGCTGGGATATCTCTTTGTTACCTTATAGAAATGTTCATCCTGTAGTTTTCTATTGTGATCAAATCAAAGATTGGAAGTAGCCTGTAGTACCTGAAACAAAGTGTGCCCTCAATAAAGAGTTGTTGACCAGCCAAGTCTATTAAGCATGAGACATATTTAAACCACATGATAGAATAAGGGTGTAGTTTTATGACTTAACTATTAACTGTTTAATATGTCACATTTGATAAATTCTTTGTTTACAAATGACGACAATCTGTTAACAATCATTTGTATGATTTCAACATGTTTTAGCTCTGAAAAGATTACAATGTTAACCACTAGTAACTATTAGGTAGGGAATATTCCCTTTGAATAGCACAGTATAGCATGTGGTAGAGTAGCACCCCCAAAATGTCTGTTAGACGCCACTCTACCATAGAATAAGCTAATACCTTCTAATCAAGACCTTTGATTCTTCAGCAACTAACTCTGTTTATTCTCACTTTTGACCTCATAGAGAAGTGCTGTCCAACAGATATAATGTGAACCACATATGTAAGTTTATCTTTCATTACCTGCACTTGAAAAAATTAAAAAGTGGAAATTAACTTAATAACATTTTATGTAGTCCTATGTGTTAAAATATTAGAATTTTAATATGTAATTAGTATAATATTTATCAAGATATCTTACATTCATTTTGCCAACCACATGTTTAAGAATTTGTATGTACTTTATAGCACAACCTCATTCTGGTAATAAATTTTTAACAGAAATACTTGATCTGTATTTGGATTTCAAAAATTTATAGTGGACAAGGTAGATTTATTTACTTAGTTTTTCCAAACATAATCTAAAATTTTCCAAATGTAGAATCAAATTACTTTTTAAATTTCTAGGATCTATGGTATTGGACAGTGTAGTTCTTAAACATTCTACTCCGCAGTGCTGATAGTAGACAATGTGCTTTCACCACATTTTAGTGTACGTTTAGGATTTTGTATATGTTTATTTCTGTTTTGTTTTCTCAGAACTACAATTTTCTTCTGAAACTTTTAATACCCTAACACTGTAAGTTAGAAATCTAAATTGAACCTGCTACATATGGCTAATAATCTTAAAGAAAATTACTCAAAAGCCTTAAAACATTCCTCTTGTTATTTCTCCATAGTCACAGGCATAAGAAGCTATACAAGAAAATTTTGCTTGTAAGCATTTTCATTATTAAGGACTAGGGTTAAAGTTCTGATTAAATCACAATACTGTCTTATGCCATTTTAAAGGAAAAGAGATCACAAATCAGAATTTTCTTTAGACCTACGCAAAGTGCATTTTCATTATGTACTAAGACTGTAGGTATTAAGGAGGATTATTTCAATATCTTTTTTTGATGTACACAGTTGTTTCTAGTCTATTCTGTTAGACATGATTATGGATTTGAGTTATCCAATTATGATTCCCTTTGAAGGTAGTTCAATGGGCATAAAATTTGCTTTAGGTCTTGACTTAAAAGTGGGTATTCCTTATTATTATTATGTAATGTTTAGTAATGTGAGCACAGTATAACAAATCCAGCTAAAAGAGTTGCCCATGACTTTTAATGTACACTTTAAAGTCTGTGGAAGCTACTGTGCCAAAATCCTGGGCTCTCCTTTGAGCTCTGTCTTTAATTAGCCATTATATTGTACAGAGTTGACCCTGTGGGTCCTGTGACTGGTGCAAGATTGAACTGTACCACATATTCCAGTTATCTTCTTCTGTATCTCATTAACCTGATGCTTCCATGTTCTCAAAGAAGTCAATTTAGTGGAATTTTGAAAAATGGAAATAAATATGCCTGTCAAGGTCAACACAAGGATAAGATAAAGGATAATATGTGAGTGCACTATGAAGAGCAAGATCCAAGCTACCCACTGAAAGAATGATTCATATTCCAATGGGGCTGAGCATCTTTACAGAGATATATGTTTATTTCTGGGTCAACATCAGTACCATTGTAATGCAAGCCACCCTTGAATTGCTGCAATCGTCAATGATTCTGATGACATCTTATGGGCAGCCCTATAGGCAGCAGTGACTCTAGCTGATCAGAAAAGTACAAGCTTATGTACTGGCAACTTTAATATGTTTTGGTGATTCAGAAGAACTATAAAAGCATGGTATTTCCAGATACACACCATAATTTAGGTTGCAGTCTTGCAGTTCCAGAGCCTGAATGCTATTTAAGGAGTGGTGATGACCACCAAAGGGGTCTTGTGATTTTTATTTGCTTTGTGAAATTGGGACATGTTTACAATATAAAATATTAGGAAATAAATACACAGACGGTGTTCTAGAAACGACTATACACTGGGTGAGAATATTTTTTCCCCTCAGAGAATTGATGAGTGCTATTTTTAGGTCTTTTGGTCCCATGTTTTAAGGGTCAAGTGTTAACTTTTTAGAAACAACCTTTAATGAGTCAGGATAAAAACCATCTGGTGGAGGAATTCTTTCTTCAAATGGATGAATTCCAGAGAGAGAGGAGGAATTTCCCACCAACATAAGATTCCCATTGGAGGCTTATGAAAGTAGCTCTAAAAATGTATTTATCTTCTCATATCTATTACTCCTTTTATTTTCCTGCCTATCTGTGAAAGCATGTGAAAAAGAAATATTGGAAAGAAGAGGGTTAGAGAGATGGTAAGGTTTTTGTCCTAGAGGCTGAGTGTGCTAAAACATAGTCTCTCTAGTAAGGGAGAGAAAAGCAGCGTTGCTTATTAAAGGGCCAATAGGTTCTGGACACTGTTCTGTATTGGACACTGTACTGTATACGTTGATGTCTGCACGATGTAATGAGTGGCAGGAGGGTGGAAGGGTGAGAAAGCCACCTGGAAGGTGTAGGACAGGGCCAGAATCCGAGATGGCTCTCCATCCTCCCTAATAAATAAGCTCGCCAAAGTGACACTTCCTTGTGTCCCAGGAAGTGACGACCAGCCAGTGTAAATGTCGTGACTCTTGGGTCTCTCCCACTCCGGGGGTGCTGTAGGAATGAGGGAGTCCTCTTCCACGCGCCCCATTCGCAAGGAGATCGCGCCGTCCGGGCCGAGTTCCTTGTATAAAAGGAACCACTCCGACGCTGCTGGTGCATGGGGGGGGGGGCTTTTGTGCCCTTTGTCCCAACTGTGAGGGTGACCCTGAACCAACGGCTCCCACGAGAAGGGAACTGAAAGAGGGTTCTGGCTGGGGCAAGAATTGAGAAAGCCTGAGCACTCGGGCAGAGGAGGATTTAAGAATGGGAGAAGTCCCCGAGATAGGAGAGAGGAGGTGTAGAATCCAGGGCAGGATCCTACACAATCCTTCCCCAATGAAATGGACCAAAAAAAAAAATAAAGGGGGGGGGATATTACTCCCTGTCACCCCAACCCAGCAAAAACTAAACACGAATAAAAATAAAAACCAACAGAGGCTCTTAGAGCACCGTAAACTCCGCGGGTGGGGCGAGAAACAAAAATAAACAGGGGCAGGCGGGCTAGGGAGCGCGGAAGGAGGAGGAGGAGGCGGCTCCGCATCCCTAATGAGGGAATGAATGGAGAGGCCCCTCGGCTGGCGCCCGCCCACCCGGCGGCGGCCGCCAAGTGCCTCTGGGCGCTGCGTGCCGCGCCCGCCGCTCCGCGCGCAGCCGGCTCGGGCCGCTCCTCCAGGCTGGGGCGCGGCGGTGGTGACTGCGCGGACCGAGTAGGGACGCGCGCGCCGTGGGTCTGGGCATCGAGAGCCGGGGCGCCGCCGCCGCGGAGCCCTGGGCGCGTGGATGCGGCTGGGCCGGGCGGAGCCGCACACCTGAGGCGGGGCGCGGAGCGCGGGGAGCGGCGCGGGCGGCGCTGTTAGGGCCGCGGCTCCCGCTGCCGAGCCGCGCTCTCCGGGACGAGCTAGGCAGTGATTCGCGGCGTCGGGTTCACCTTCAGCCATGGCCCGGATAGCCTAGCGGGGCCTCGCCCCCCCGCCACCTCCCCTTCCCCGCCGCGCACCGGCCGCCGCCGCATCCTGCCGGCCTCGCTGCCTGGCCCGCGCCGGGCAGCCGCCCTCGCCGGGAGCCCTCCCTCGTCCCTGCTCGCGTCCCCCCGCGGCGGCGCCGCGGGAAGCAGCACCCCCTCCTCTTCCTCCGCGTCCCCTCCCCTCCGGCCCCCGCCGGGGCCGCTTGTTGCACCGCCCGCGGCCTGCGGGAGCCGCTCGCCGCGGCCGGGCCTGGCGCTCGCGTCTGCACTCCCTTCCTCTCGCCCCCCGGGGCCCGCACCCCAACCCGACCGGAGAGACCCCGGCCCAGCCTCGTCGCCCGCACAAAATGTCGGCCCGGACGCCATTGCCAACGGTGAACGAGCGGGACACTGAGAATGTGAGTAACTGGAGCCTCCCCCAGAAGCGGCGGGGGCCAGACCCTCCCCCGGTCCCCCTTCAGCCTCGCTGGGGCCGCCCCCGAGCCCAGCGCCGGCCACCCGCAGGGTCTCCACCTAGAGCCTGGCGTGACCCTCACCCGCTGCCCAGCCCCTATTCATTCCAGCCCCATTTCGCTTCTTTCTCCTCTAGGGTGAGGGTGGGGGCACCGTGAGAGGCGCCCCCTCGCCCTGAGGTGGTCCTCCAGGACAGGATGGGGTGATGGAGGGCAGAGAGGAGGAAGGCGGTGACAGAGTGGGCATCCTAGACAGCTTTATTTCTGCCTCTGCATTCTGTATCCCCACCCGAATTAAGGTTTGCTTTATGATAACTGAAGAGCCAGCTACCTTTTACACCCTTGCTTTTCTGGATCTTTCAATCCTTTATACCCCCCACCCCACCCCCGGTCCCGCACGCATTGCCCCATGACTTTGCTTTTTGTAACATTGTGTCCACATTTTGGGTCACCGACACCAAAGGGAGAAGCACAGGAATGGAAGTAGAGACGTGTGTGTGTGTTTGTGTGTGTATGAGTTTACCATTGCTGTGATACTGTAGTAGAGATGAGTAGAATTTTCACGAAAAGCTTCTGTGGTCCTGGGGTTAGAGCAAAATATTTGAAAGCCCCGTGAAGCCAACTGGCTTTTGTATTCTCTTCTCCAAGTCAGTGGTAATGATTCAGGGCAGGTTTTACTTTAAATAAATCTCTCCTCCTTGGAGTGGCACAAGGTGCATTTCTTTGGAGGAAGGATTTTTCTGTCTGATCAAATTGCCCTCAGGAGTTTTTATCAAGATTTAGATGTCCCCAGTGTTTAAACTCTCCCAAACTAAAAGAACAAGACCAGTCATACTTCCACCTTCTGAAAAGTACAATGTGTGTTTGTGCAGGTTTCTTTGTGGGAAAGGATTTTTATGTTTATGATTTGTTAGTTTGTTTTAAAATCCTGTGACCTGTGAATAGGGCCTTGACTGATTTTCCAACTAGTTTTCAGAAGCTAGAGGTGTACTAAGTTTTGGTTTGGTGTCCAGAGCTCTTTGGTTGTCTGGTTGACTCATCAGCCCCCAGTGCCTGATGTACCAATGACTTCAAGGGTTTTGTAAAATAAATTAATGAAGTGCTTTGGCGTTCTGAGAAAAAAGATGTGAAAGAGGAGAGGTACAAGCTCACTTTTGAAGTGTTGGAGGGGGTATAAGATATAAACATTATTTAATCTTGAAGAGTAGATGAGCTCAAAAAACAATATAATTATATGAAGGGAAAAGAAATTCTAGTAAGAGGCCATTGTTAGAGGACCCACAAAGATGTTTCACAGTGTGCTTTTGTCCCCTCCTGTGTCATATATTTAAAATGGGAAAGGTACAGTAAGGTTGCCACTATCATACTTTGTCACTTAATTTGCATCATAACTGGTTTTCAAAAAATATAATTGGTGCATGATTTTGACTGAGAGACTGAAGAAGATCAGAGAAAAAGATGAATTTTGTTAAAGTTAATTTTAAAGCCAACTTGGTACAGGATTTTTCTAACAGGATTTCTAAAAAAATTGCTGTCATTCATGAGTGTTAATGAAAAGTAAAACAGATGATGACCTGTGTTTTTGTTAGCAAAGTACTGTGTGTATTAACCGAGAAGGAGCAGAAAATTACATTTTTATTTTCCTTTGGATTTTGAATAGTACGGCTCTTCTCATGCTTGTATGAATAAGGCACTTTATACAGACATGAGATAGCATTATAGAAATATGTACAAAATGCAGCATCACATGGAAGACAAAAATGATTTTAGAGTTAAGCAATAGTAGTGTGATAAATTTTGTTGTGAGGACCTTCTGAAAATGATTTTGCTGCATAAACTCATTTGCTCTGTTTCTGAACGGTATTTCAAAGTCACAGTTATGGTCTTGTTCTTTATTGTGTCGTGCATAACTATCTGTCCATTTAGCTTACTTTACCCACATCCTAATTATCTTCTAATTGCTATGGAAAATATCTGTTATACTGTGGCTGTTAATTAATCAATAAGTATGAAATCAACTCTGTTTTTGAACTAGAAGGGTAGTGTAGAAGTATTTAATGCAAGGCCTCTCCCTTTAAGGAATGTGATCTCAAGTGATATGCAATAGAAGACAATGTATAAATAGGGCTAAATTGGTTTATGAGTGTTTATCAAAGGGGCTACCACTGCTGGCTATTAAATCATCATTGGAGTCTCTATTCTTGTTTAATAGTAATGGTATTATCCATTTTTAATTATCTCATGGTGACATAAAGTAGTAAATCTGCCTGTTAGATTAAAAAATCTTAATATATTAATGCTAATCAAAATGTACATTTGTTTATAGTCATTTTTAATTGACATTTAAAAATATTTATGAAAAATTTTCTATTTATATGACTACTAAAGGCTTTTATGTCTTTTGGAATACCAAAGATAGTAACCCAAAACATTTTATTACCCTAAGAAATTAAAATCAATAAATTACGATAATTTAAACCATCTTAGTATTTTCAGTTAGTGTAAAAATTTCTTTATACATGTAGCATACATATAACATATTTGGATTTTGTGTCCTTGGTAATATGTGATATCTACCATTCCTGATGTCACTAATCTATATATTCAGGATAAACTTAAAAATTCAAAGGGAGAATGCTGTAGCATTGATCTCGTACATACCATGGCTGTGTATAGTACAGTGAGAAAGAATTGCTTTTCTTTGAGAACATTCAGTGTGTACTTTTTCAGGAGTATTTTCTTAGATGAGGGATTTGTGTGTGCCTTGTTAATAGGCCTCAGTTGGCTAAATACAACAGAATAACCAATGATTAACTTTTAAGGCAATAAACACTTCCTAGTGAAGCAGGAAAGACATGTTGCAGATCATAGAATCTATGCAGAATGTGTTTGATTTTTTTCAGTTCAGAAAAAAGAATGCATGTTTGAAAGGTTTTTCTTCTTCTCTTTTCCTTCTGTTAGATTATACTTGTATAATTCTGGTATATATATAGGTAATTCATGACTATTTCTCTGTGTGCTTTTCATTGAAACAATAACAGTTTTTCTAGTGTTTTGGAAAAACGGATTATGGTAATTTTTATGGGTCAAAAATACCCTGTCTAGTTTTATGTGTTGAAATTTTGATTGGTACGAAGAAAATTGATTTGACTATTTCTTGTGATGTTTTAAAATTGACTTGGTTAGATTAAAAATCTTTACAACAATAAATTCTTGATGATGAATCTTTTGATAAATCTGAAATACTCAGTGATGACTCTACCAAGTACTTAATGTAACCAAGGTGGCCATCAGTATTTGTCCTAGGGGAATCATTGCTAATAGTGTGAAAAGGCAAGAGGACAGCATATGTCTGCGACCACCCTTGGCTTTGCTCAGTACCCAGTGCATCCTTGCCATGTCTCACTACCACGTTGCAATTTAATTGCTGTTCCACATTGCCAATGCCTAGTGTGATAGCATTCCCCTGTGACATTAGTGATATATGCAAGAGTAGCATTACATATTACAACATAAGAGGATGAAGCCTTCAGAAACCCCAAGGTCATACTAAATCTTGGACACTTTCCACAGTTGCTCTACTCATGCTGCTGCTTCCAGGAGGTATTTGTTTTGTTTTGTCTTAGAGATTTTAAAAGAACATGTGCAATGATATAATAAAGAAGAACAGGGTATGCCTCCTTCCTTGTCTACTCTTGAACCTTTTGTGTTTTCTCTGTCTGGAGTGCTCTGCACTTTTCCCTATACTTACAAATCCTTTGTGGCTTGGCTCTTGGTTTTAACAAGACTTCTGAGGAGATCACAGCCAACATTGCTGTCTGTTGTAGCTCAGCGCTGGTGTGTGCATATAGTCTGCACTGGATTTCTCAAAGCAGGAGTATGGGACACAGCATTGGAAGAAGAAATATCTTTAATATCTATCACTTCCCTCTGACCTATATGCTGTTAAGTCTTTTTTTTTAAAAAAAAAAAAAAAAAACAACCCATGTTGTGTAGAATTAGCTATGTAATTTTCAAATAATTATTGTCATTACTATCATTTCTTTTTCCACCTCAGACTTTGCTTTGGGGGTCATTTTCACTTTAGAAGTTCTTTTAATGAAGGATAAAAATGTATTTTGTCTGTATTTTTAAATATTTTTAAATTTAGATGGACATAATATCTTCATTTTATGTATTTTTATGTTGTACTGAGGATTGAACCCAGTGTCTCATACATACCAGACGAGTATGCTACCACTGAGCCACGACCCCTCAGCCCTTTGTCTGTATTCTTGAAGGTGGCTTGGCTCTGTCCATAACTCTGGGTTGATAGTGTAATTTCTTTTACTGCTCAGAAGATGGCATTCCATTGTCTACTGAGCCCATTACTTCTATTCAGAAGTCATCTGTTACATAACAGGTGATTGTGTTTGTCTCTTTAAAATTCTTTTAGTATTTTTTGTAGTAGTTTCACTGCAGTGCATGTAGATTTGGAGTTTTTTTATCTTGATTACTTTTTCTATCTATGAATTAATCATTTTCATAACTTTAGGACAGTTACCAGCTATTATCTTTTTGATTATTGCCTTGCTCCTGGTGTCTCTATTGTTTTCCTGTTTTTGATGTTCTGATTATGTTAGACCTTAATCTTGTATGCCTTAACAACTTTTTATTTTCCAAGTTCACTGTCTCTCTAAATGACAAACTATATAATTTCTTTAGAATTTTATCTTCTGTGGATTCATATTTTTCATCAGTTTTAGAAATGCATCAACCATTATCTCTTTCTGTATTGTCTTATCTCTGTTCTCTGGAGTGTTTTCTGATACTCTGATTAGATATGCTAAAATGTTTTATTCTTGTTCTTTGTATGTCTTAACCCCTTAGTCATGTTTTTCTACTGTTCATTATTTCTCTTTACTATAATTTGCAGTACAATCTGCACTATGGTTACTCTATGTAAT